GTCTGCCTTCAGCCTCGGCGTCAGCCTCAGACTGCCTCAGCCTCAGCCTGCATCGGCCTCGGCCTCAGCCTCAGCCTGCCTCAGCATCAGCCTGCCTCAGCCTCAGCCTCAGCCTGCCTCAGCATTCAAAATGTGGCCTGGGAATGGAATTCTGGGAACTCGAAGAACACGAAGTGGCCTACAGTTGGCTCCGGGCATTCAAATTCATGCCCAGGAATGGAGTTCTGGGAACTCGAAGACCACGAAGTGGCCTACAGTTGGCTCCGGGCATCCAAAATCTGGCCCGGGAATGGAGTTCTGGGAACTCGAAGACCACGAAATGGCCTACAGTTGGCTCCGGGCATCCAAAATGTGGCCCGGGAATTGAGTTCTGGGAACTCGAAGACCACGAAATGGCCTACAGTTGGCTCCGGGCATTCAAAATGTGGCCCGGGAATGGAGTTCTGGGGACTCGAAGACCACGAAGTGGCCTACAGTTGGTTCCGGGCATTCAAAATGTGGCCCGGGAATGGAGTTCTGGGGGCTCGAAGACCACGAAGTGTGTGACTGTTGCATCCGGTTATTCAGAATGTGGCCTGGGAATGGAGTTCTGGGAAGTCGAAGAGCACGAAGTGTGTGACTGTTGGTGAAAAACGAGCCCGGCACAGGCCCGGCCGGCAACTCCCAACGCCTGCCCGGACCCCCCTGTGGAGTGATCTGTGAGCTCTTTTGAGTCAACTAGAAACCTATCAGTCTACGCTGTTAGGTAAAAAAAAAAAAAAAAAAAAAAAAAAAAAAAAAAAAAAAAAAAAATTATCCCGGCAAAGCAACCTAACAGCGATGTGTAGAAGCATATCTGAAAGCATTCCCCTTAAGATTCAGATGAAAATCCAGTTGTCGAATTCTGCTGTTCTCGCAGTCGTAGTCGCATTCGCGATGACAGTCGCAGCGGCAACGGCAGTCGCAGTCACAGCCTCAGCCTGCCTCCTCCTCCTCCTCCTCCTCTTTCCTCCTCCTCCTCCTCCCTCCTCCTCTTCCTCCTCCTCCTCTTCCTCCTCTCGTCCTCGTTTCTCAGTACTCCTCGTCTTGCTCGTCCTCCTCCACCTGTGCTCCCTCTCCTCCCTCCTCCTCCTCCACCTCCTCCTCCTCCTCCACCACCTCCACCCTCCTGGTGGTCCTCGTTCCTCCTCCTCCTGGTGCTCTCCTCCCCCCCCCCCTCCTCCTCGTCCCTCGACTTCCATCCTCCTCCTCCTCCTCGTCCTCCTCCTCCCCCTCTTTCCTCCTCCTCCTCCTCCTCCTCCTGGTAGCCTCTCCCCTCCCACCTCCTCCTCCTCCTCCTCCTCCTCTTCCTCCTGCTCGTCCTCGTTCTCGTCCTCCTCGTCTTGCTCGTCCTCCTCCACCTGGTGCTCTCTCCTCCTCCTCCTCCTCCTCCTCCTCCTCCTCCTCCTGGTGGTCCTCGTTCTCCTCCTCCTGGTGCTCTCCCCCCCCCTCCTCCTCCTCGTCCTCCTCCTCCTCCTCCTCCTCGTCCTCCTCCTCCTCTTCCTCCTCCTCCTCCTCCTCCTCCTCCTCCTGGTAGTCCTCCCCCTCCCCTCCACCTCCTCCTCCTCCTCCTCCTCTTCCTGGTCGTCCTCCCCCTCCCCATCCTCCTCCACCACCGTCCTCATCCAGTCGTCCTCCCCTCCTGGTCTCCTCCTCCTCCTGCTCGTCCACCTCCTCCTCCTGCTCGTTTCCTTCTTCTCTGCTCCTCCTGCTCCCGTCCTGCTCTCTCGAGACCTCGTCCACTCTGGTCTTGCTTCGTCCTCCTCCTCGTCGTGCTCTTAGCCCCCTGCTGAAAATGTGGCCCAGGAATGGGAGTTCTGGGAAGTCGCAAGAGCACAAAGTGCCTACATTGGCTACGGGCATTCAAAAATGTGGCCCGGGGGGGGAACAAAAAAAAAAAAAAAAATAAAAAAAATGGGAGTTCTGGGAACTCGAAGACCACGAAGTGGCCTACAGGTGGCTCCGGGCGTTCAAAATGTGGCCCGGGAATGGAGTTCAGGGAACTCGAAGAGCACGAAGTGGCCTACAGTTGGCTCCGGGCATTCAAAATGTGGCCCGGGAATGGAGTTCTGGGAACTCGAAGAGCACGAAGTTGTTGACTGTTGCATCCGGGAACCCTCCAGAATGTGGCCCGGGAAAATGGAGTCTGGGAAGCTCGAAGAGCACGAAGTAGTGTGTGACTGTTTGCATTTCGGTCGGCCATTCCAAATGAGGCCTGGGAATGGAGTTCAGGGAACTCGAAGAGCAACGAAGTGTGTGACTGTTGCATCCGGCCCACCATACTGTGGCCCGGGAATGGAGTTCTGGATCTCGAAGAAGCACGAATGTATGATTGTTAGCAATCCCCCGTCCAGAATGTGTGCCCGGGAATAGCGATTCTGGATCTCGAAGAGCACGAAAGTGTGCGACTGTTGCATCCGGTATTCAGAATGTGGCCTGGGAATGGGTTCAGGTAGAGTCCGACGAGCACGAAGTGTGTGACTATTGGTGAAAAACGAGCCCGGCACACTGCCGCCCGGCAACTCCCAACACTTGCCCGGACCCCCCTGTGGAGTCATCTGCTGCTCTCTTTTGACACCACTAGAAACCTATCAGTCTTCGCTGTTAGGTAATTATCCCGGCAAAGCAACCTAACAGCGATGTTTCTAAGTATAACTGAAACATGCAGCAGCAGTGAGAGGCACTGTGATATCAACAGTAACAGTAATAGTGATGCAAAAGCTGTTGTCATCGTCGCGCTGAGCTTGATTCGATGTGTTGTCAAACAAGGTACTGCCATGGACGCATGTCGCTTGAATGACTACATGTATAAACGAGACACTGTCATCAACGCACGGAACTGGAATAGATATATGTCCAAACGAGACACTGCTATCAACGACGTGGAAAACAATGGGATGCTTGTTCAAAGGAAACATTGCTATCAACGCATCATGTGGGGCCATTTTTCCAAATGTGGCCTGGGAATGGCGTTTCTGGCAGGCGTTCTGGGAGGTCTCGGACACGAAGTGTTTGACTCTTGCATCCTGTTATTCCGAATGTGGCCTGGAAATGGGGTTCTGGGATGCCAAAGAGCTCGAAATGCATTTCTGCTGCATCCCGTTAATCAGAATGTGGCCCGGGAATAAGGTTCTGGGGTGTCAAGTACGAAGAATTGTATGACTGTTGCGTCCGGCTATTCAAAATGTGGCCCGGGAATGGAGTTCTGGGAACTCGAAGAGCACGAAGTGTGTGACTGTTGCATCCGGCCCTCCAGAATGTGGCCCGGGAATGGCGTTCTGGGAACTCAAAGAGCACGAAGTGTGTGACTGTTGCGTCCGGCTATTCCGAATGTGGCCCGGGAATGGCGTTCTGGGATCTCGAAGAGCACGAAGTGTGTGACTGTTGCATCCGGTTATTCAGAATGAGGCCCGGGAATGGAGTTCTGGGAACTCGAAGAGCACGAAGTGTGTGACTGTTGCATTCGGCCCTCCAGAATGTGGCCTGGGAATGGAGTTCTGGGAAATCGAAGAGCACGAAGTGTGTGACTGTTGGCGAAAATCGAGCCCGGCACCTGCCGCCCGGCAACTCCCAACACCTGCCCGGACCCCCTTGTGGAGTGATCTGTGAGCTCTTTTGAGTCAACTAGAAACCTATCAGTCTTCGCTGTTAGGTAAAAAAAAAAACACTGTTCACGCTTCCAGGTCAGTGCCCCCGGAGCTCCCCGACTGCTTCCTGGGGTGGCCCCCAGACGTGGCCCCTTAAACGTCGGCCCAACGCGTGGCCCCCACACGGGACCCCCAAAGGCGGCCCCCACACAAAGCCTCCGAAGGTCGCCCCTACCGCCCCAGTAAGCGTGGCCTCCGAACGTCACCCCCACGCGCAGCCTCAGGCGCCCCAAACGTGGCCCCCACGCACAGCCCCCAGCCATAGCCCTCAAACGTGACCGCCGCATGTGCCTCCGGAGGTCGGAGCTGCTCAACTTCGACGAGTTGGTCACCTACGGCGTGCGAGTACCAGGCTCAGCACGCCGTGGATTTCATCCACGGGTTCATACTAGTCAGCTATAGTGCTGGGATCAGTGCGTGCGAGAAGGGCGGGCAGTGGCAGCGGGCCCTGGCGCTGCTGAGCGAGATGCGGGAGGCGAAGCTGAAGCCCAACGTCGTCTCTCCTGTAATGCAGCGGTCACCGCTCGTCAAAGGGTCGAGCAGTCCGTGGCAGCGGACCGGCCCCCTCCGACGGCCACTGGCGCGGCCCCAGTGCCCTGGGCGCGCTTTCAAGACGATTTGAGAGCGCCCCGAGCCTCCCCCAGAGGCCCCCAAGAGGGTCCGAAGACGGTCCAAGAGGGCATCCGAGACGGACACCGAGTGTTCGAAGACGCCCAAGACAGCCGCCCGACGGCCCAAGAGGCCCCCAAAATGCTCCAAGTGGGCTCCAGAGAGAGCCCCAGGAGAGCCCGAACAAAGAAAAATCGTCCCAATCTTTAGGAAAACGTGCATTTCGGGAGTTCCCGTGCTTTCCGTTTTCGAAGCGTCCAAGACGGCCACGTCCCAAGACGCCTCAGGAGGGCCCCAAGACGGCTCGAGACTGCGCCAGGACAGCCCCTCAGGCGCCCATGGCGGCCCCAAGAAGGGGCCAGGACAGGGTGGGAGTGCTCCCGAGGGGCCCCAAGAGGGGGCCAGAAGGGCCCCAAGAGGGCCCCGACAAGGCCCCATGACGCATGTACTTGGGTGCCCCTCTCCCAAGCCCAGGAAGCATATCGAGTACATGCGGTTGGGGGCCCTCATGGGGGGCGCTCTTGCGGCCCGCTTGAGGCCTTTGCGCTCCTCCAAGACAGGGCCCGGTGCATTCTGCCACAGGAAGGCCTCTCGTGGCTGAATGGTGGGCCCGCGCCTGGCGGCGTCCTGGGGCCCTCTTGGAGCCCTCTTGGAGCCCACTGCGGGCCCTCTTCGTGCCCTCTTGCACGACGGCCGCCAGTGGCAGCAAGCACGGTTACGCACGAGTCAGCTACAGTGCTGGGAGCACCGCGTGCGAGAAGGGAGGACAGTGGCAGCATGCGCTGTGGCTATTTAGGCAGGTGTGGGAGGTGACGTTAGAGCGCGACGTGCTCAGCTACAACGCTGGGATTACTGCGTGCGAAAAAGGCGGACAGTGGAAGCAAGCGTTGAATCTGCTCTGGGAGATGCGGGATGTGCCGTTGGAGCCAGATTCAATCAGCTACGTCGCAGGGATTACCGCGAGCAGGAAGTGGGAGCAGGCACTGTCGCTGCTCAGTTTGATGGGGGAGGCGAAGTTCAAACCGGACGCTATCAGCCACAGTGCTGTCATAGGGGCGTGCGAGAGGTCTTCAGGCGGTTTGGGGGGATCCTCTAATTTGTTTTCTGGCCGGTACATCGCACGTTTTCCCGTATCTCGGGGGACATGGAGCGCGCGGTCATCGTGTGGAAGAAGACGCATGGGTGAGTGAGCATCGCACGTGCGATTGTTGATGTAATCAGCATTGCTTAGATCGTGGAGTGGATATGCCAGGATCCGGCCGCCCAGTCTGGCAACAACACGTCGCCACAGAGCTAGTACCAGCGCACTTGAGAACGACGAGCAGTGACAACAGGCTCTCTTACGGACCGGCTAGCATCGGGAGACAAAGTCCGCGTTCACGATCGTCAGAGTATGCGGTGTGAGCAGCGCGTGCAGGAACAACCAGAGCTCGAGCCAGGCCGTGACGCCGCCGTACGAGACGTGGGAGGCGAAGCCGGGGCCTGGCGCTGGGTCGGGCGATCGCAAACATGGATTACGGGGCCGTGGATTGGCGACGCGTCCCGGTTCCATGGGACGCCGCGGCTTCCCGCCGGCGACCGAAGCGGCGCCGGCCGCACTCTGGGGAGGGCACCTCCGCCGATCCGTGGATCTGGCGACCGCGCGCCGAGTGCGTGGATCGCTGATCTCCACGCGGGCGCGCCCCTGGCGCTGGGGCCAGCGCCCCCGCGCTGCGCGCCCCCTCTGCTCGGCTTCTGTCAGGAGAGGAAAAAACACACAGACATAATTAATCCTCGATCCCCCAGAAAATACAGGAAAGTATGGGAAGTGGGGGGGAAGACAAACACCCAGAAAATATGGGAAGATATTGGGAATCCTTTTATTTGTGTGTATTTATTTGTGTGTCCCAGGGCCCCTTCATTCTGCTGCGCAGGGGCGGCCCGGCAGTCCGAGGGAGGCGCCGAGCCGCCTCCGGAGATCTCGGCGGCGAGCGAGGGGGGGGGGGGAAACGAGGATTGAGTCGGGCGTGTCCCTCTGCCGGAGGGATCTTCAGAAATAGTCCACAAACATAGTCTGGGGACGATGGTTTTTCCCTATCTTTGGCTAGTTTAGAATATTGTTGGGGACATGTCTGATTGTTCCTCCAAAGCCCGTCTCAAAACCAGCCTGGAGGGGGACATGCCCGACCCAATTCCAGAACTCGGCGGCGAGCGAGGGGGGGGGAGCGAGGAGGAGGAGGGGGCCTTCTCAGAGGGCGGCGGGGCTGCTCAGAAGCGCCCCGGCCTTTGAGAAGGTCTCCGCGCCTCCGGGGCAGGCTCAGATGACTTCTCGGAAGGGCCGGGGACTTCCGGGCCTTCCGAGAAGCCCCGCCCCTCCTTCGGCGGCGACGATAAGGGCGACTAGCCCAGGGGCGGGCATTGGACGCATGCGCCCGGGAGCCTTGTCGAAGACATAGATCATCAGCGCCCTTGGATACGTGTCTTGCTCTCCCCGGGGCTCTATTCGCCCCCATCGTCGCCTCTGACTTCTCACTCCCCCCCCCCTCGCTCGCCGCCGACTCGCTGCTGCGCGGTGCTGGGCCTGCCTGCTCGTGCCTCCCAGGGGCGCCCGCCGTCATCGATCCTCGGAGCTGGGGCAGCACGGGGGCGGCCTGCCGTGAGGCGCTGGGGTGCTGGCTTGCGCCAGCACTCCCTCCGTTTCCAGGTCCGTTGTGGGGTTTAGGGTTTGGGGTCAACAAGAGCGCGAAAATGTCAACATACTGGACGTGTCACACACTGGCGCGGTGCCCACATCCCACCCACCCTAGAAATTCATTACATATCAAGACACACACACACACACACTCTGGCGCGTGCAAGCCATCGGGCAAGGCCGCGTGGATCAGCGAGGAACAGGAAGGAGCAGCGCGGAGCACGCAGTATGAAGGCTGAAGGCATGAAAAGGCGTGTGGGGTTTAGGGTTTAGGGTCCACTGGCCCAAACTTGAAGCCTGTTGGACGTGTCCCACCCACCCGTGACCCAAGACATCTTGATCTCAAAGCGACGACGGCGATACCGATGACGAAGACGACGGTATTGTTCTCGAAACGACGACGACGACAGTCGCGCAAAGTCTTTTGGGAAGCCGCTGCAACGGCGATGCGGCACGCGCGCGCGACGACGCGATTCGAAGAACAACGTATATTTACGCGAGTCCCTGTACGTCGCAGGGACGCCGCCCAGCGGCGGTGAGATTGCATGGACTGGCTGCGCAACGGGCGCGGATCTGCGTGAGGGGCGCGCCCTGGGATTTGCAAAAACTCTGAGAACACCATTACCGACATTCCGATGGCAAGGATCTGCGTGAGGGGTGTGCCAAATCTGGGGCGGCGGAAGCGGCGCCGTAAGGGTGCCATGAGGCATTTTAGAATTTGAATCTTTATAGGCTCTTAGTTCTTAGGGCTATCCCTTGCATCGTTGCCCCATTCGCCCAGGGCTGCCCATGCATCCTTGTCCCATTCGGCCCATCCTGAGCGACTTTCACTGGCCAACCTCGTTCGGAAAAAGAAACAAAAACGTTAACATGGGGTTCCGAGGCCCTTGCACCCTTACCGTGCATACGTATGGTACGGGTTGAGTGTATTCATGTTGCGTCTGTCCGCACGAATGGCGGGCGCCATTCCACGGGCGTCAAGGATGCCGGTGTCAGACTACAGAAGCGTCCTCAGGGGCAGACGACCGCTGTTTGGTAGAAGCCTCCTCTTCGTCCTCCATCTCGCCGTCATAATCGTCATCCTTCCTCCTCCTCCACGTTCCTCCTCCAACTCACTCTCCCCATCTGAAGAGCTCTCCCCCATCCTGCCTGACCCCCCCATCCCCCGTTTACTCCTCCCCCCCCATCTTCCGCCTCCCCGCTTTCCTCATCTGACGAGCTCTCCCCCGTCCTGCCTGACCCCCTTTCATTCCCCGTGTACTCCGCCCCCCCCGTCCTCCGCCTTGTTTCCCCTCCGTTGCAGGTTCCAGCACGCTGCTGCGAGGCCCCCAGGCGCGGGCCGCGCATCCGCATCCAACGGCAGAGATGGACGGCCCACCCGTGGCCAGCCCTCCAGACTGGGAGGCGCGGCCCTGCGTGCGCGAGCGCCTCGGAAGTGGTCTCCAGGTGGAGACGGGGGGCCTGCTGGTGTTCCTGCTCCTCCGCGGCTCTGGGGCCGACCAAAAGCCGAGCACGCGGGAGGGGGGGCAGACACACACTCAGGAAGATAAAAATCACACACGCACACACACACACATACACGCACACGCAGACACAACTAACAGTTTATTATCAGGAGAATGATGGCAAATATAGGACGTAAAAGGGGGACAGACGAAACTCCAGAACATGTGTGTGTTTGTGTGTGTGTCTGTGTGTGTGTGTGTGTCTGTGTGTGTGTGTGTGTCTGTGTGTGCGTCTGTGCGTGTGTCTGTGTGTGTCTGTGTGTGTGTGTGTCTGTGTGTGTCTGTGTGCGTGTGTGTCCTGTGTGTGTGTGTTTGTGTGTGTGTGTCTGTGTGTGTGTGTCTGTGTGTGTGTGTCTGTGTGTGGGTCTGTGTGTGTGTGTCTGCGTGTGTGTGTGTGTGTGTCTGTGTGTGTGCCTGTGTGTGTGTGTCTGTGTGTGTCTGTGTGTGTGCCTGTGTGTATGTCTGTGTGTGTCTGTGTGTGTGTGTGTGTCTGTGTGTGTCTGTGTGTGTGTCTGTGTGTGTGTGTCTGTGTGTGTGTAGTCTGTGTGTGTGTGTGTCTGTGTGTGTGTGTCTGTGTGTGTGTGTCTGTGTGTGTCTGTGTGTGTGTGTCTGTGTGTGTGTGTGTCTGTGTGTTGTGTCTGTGGTGTGTCTGTGTGTGCTGTGTTGTGTCTGTGTGTGTGATAGGTGTGTGTGTGTGTGTCTGTGTGTGTGTCTGTGTGTGTGTCTTGTGTGTGTGTGTGTCTTGTGTGTGTTTTGTGTGTGTGTCTGTGTGTGTGTGTGTGTCTTGTGTGTGACTGTGTGTGTCTGTGTGTGTGTCTGTGTGTATGTCTGTGTGTGTGTGTCTGTGTGTATTGTGTGTGTCTGTGTGTGTGTGTGTCTGTGTGTGTCTTGTGTGTGTGTCTCTGTGTGTGTGTGTGTCTTGTGTGTGTCTTGTGTGTGCCTTGCGTGTGTCTTGTGTGTGTCTTGTGTGTGTGTCTTGTGTGTGTGTCTTGTGTGTGTCTTGCGTGTGTTTTGTGTGTCTTGTGTGTGTTTTGTGTGTGTGTGTGTCTTGTGTGTGTCTTGTGTGTGTCTTGTGTGTGTCTTGTGTGTGT